CAACACATCCCCTGAACACATCCACTGAACAACACATCCACTGAACAGCGAATCCACTAAACAACACATCCACTGTATACATCCCCTGAACACATTCACTGAACACATCCACTGAATACACCCCCTGAACACATTTACTGAACAACACATTCACTGAACACATTTACTGAACAACACATCCACAGAACAGATTCATGAACACATTCACTGTGGGAACTGCCTAGGACTGACAATCAACCTCATCCAAACATTATTTGGAAGTGATCAATGCTACAAACAGTCTGAGTGGTTAAATGCAGTTAAGGAACTTTTCTTTTAAGTTGATTTAAAAGCTGCTCTGTTTTCTGTTCATGAAATAAGGTTTTAAAGGAAGGATTGGTGGGGAAACCTTATCTGGAAGATTGGAGCTTTGGTGTATGAATTTTTAGGGAACTTAATTCAGTTGAGAGCTGCAGTGATTACTGATTATTGCCCACTTTGGTTTGTGCATTTTATAAATGGGTGATGTTTTAAGTTTGCACCACCAAAGGCAATGTAAATTCATTACAATGTCACTCATCACCTTCTTGGAAGCTATACATATCTTAAATTTTATAGTGTGTATCATGTGATTCAAATATAATTTATATATATATATATATATATATATATATATATATATATATATATATAGTGGGAGTGGAGTTTGAAACCAGTGTCTTATGAAATCTAGGAAAGCACTAAATTTGAATATTCTTCAACAATTCAGAACCAAGTTTATTATTTTTGGAATAATGTAGCATAATAATTACAAGTGAAAAAACCCATGACTGTATTGATCTCACATTCTTATTACTTTGCATTTTTTTTATCAAAACAGAGAGAAAACTTACATCCTAGCTTCACTCCATACCTTCATACTTGGAAATTTTAGTGTCTCTTTAGCCAAGACTAATTTTTTATAGTTTAAAAACTAAGACAGTTCCAGGTACCTTCTTCTAACATTTTCATTTCTTTTATTAGTTTTAATTTCTGTGTGTCAGAGATGATCAAGTAATACATTTTCTCCTTTAAAAGTTATATAGGACAAGGTTAGAGAGAAGACTCAGAGTGAGTAGCATGCACTGCTCTTGCAGAGGGACCAGAGTTCAAATCCCAGCACCCGTGTTGGGTAGCTCACACAGAACTGTTATTCTAGCTCCAGAAGGATTGCTGTCTCTGGCTTCTGTGGGCACCGGCCCGAGGAAGTTCACAAACCCACCCACAGACAGTCTGTTTGATAATACGGCTTAATGAAAATCTGAACTCTTCTGTAGGTTTTCATGTCTTTGTTCACAAAACTTACCGGCACAGAAGAGGAAAAATTGCTATAATTTTTACTTTTTTTCATGGGAATTTCCTCTGTTGCATGGGAGAAGCTGAACGCGTTTATGCTCTGTTAAACATAGTGACATTTTTAGATCAGCAGAAATCTAGGTCAGACTTCTGTAGTCTTCAAAGTATTACCTTTCATTAGAAGCAAAATGGGAACTCAAGTGTCTCAAAGCAACCCCTGGATCGTTCATTAAGTTGATGAATTCTTAGATATGTGGTACAAAGGAAAGTATCTGAAGGGTTCTGCTATTATGAAAATGATCGAGGAACCAATTTTCAGTGGATTTTATCCTTGGTGAAAATACATTCCTTTGTAGCATTAGATAACATGGCCTTTGTTTGTGCGTTATTATGAAAGGCAAGACAGAGATTTCTGTGGAGCCAGAGTAACCAGTAAAGTGGTCTATATTTTACTATATGGCTCTGTGCAGAAACCAGTCAGTAGAAATGCTGACTACTTAGTGAAATCTTGATAAAACAAAAATGCTTGACCTTGATTTTGATGACAAACACATATGTTTCGTCTTGCAGGCTCGATGGCCAAGTCAATGGATTCACCAAAAATCTACTCAAGGAGTCCACGAGAACCTCTGTCTATTCTTATGAGGCCAGAAACAGCCTCAGGTACTAAAACCAATGACAAAGCCAATGACAGGACCATCCTTCTGTTTATTTGTTCACATGCAAGCTAGCCATTATTTTTAAAGCCTGGAACTTCTATATGCAAATATACCCTTACATGAAATTGTTGAATCAGCAGGTCGATTATTGCTGGGATGCTCATAGAAGAATATAAAATGTGATGGTTGCTTTAAAGTCTACAATTATATAAAACATGATTGTGACATCAATATTGACATTCTTTTAGAGATTTATTGATTCTATTTTATGTGCATATGTACATACATGAGTCTATGTATGTGAATCACACATGTGCTGGTTCCCATAGAGTCCAGAAAGTATCATATCCCTGGAACTGGTATTACAGATGATTGGGAACCGCCCAATGTGGGGACTGGGAACCAAACCTGTGTTCCCTGCAACAAATGCTCTTACCTACTGAGCCATCTCTCCAACCTGGGAATTCACATTCTTGAACGAGATCTGTCAGACTATATTACTAAATCCGAGGTTTGAAGAATCAATTAAAGTCCACTTTTAACTCAAGGTTTATGGGAGAAATTTATGGCTTAGAAATGAACGGTGCATCAGGGAAACAGACACTAAAGTACAGTGCGTGAATAGATAAATCTGTCTTCATGCTCTAAGACAAATTTACTGAATTATAAGTTCTCACAATAGTAATAACAATGTAGAACAAGACAGTGGATGGTAAGAATGGGAGAGGTGGCAAAATTCTGCAGGAGTTGATTAATAACACTTGAACATTTTCATTTAAACATTTGGTTTCTATTTCTTCTAAGGTGTGTACATATATGTATACACACATACACACCTTAGAAGAAATATATATATATATATTATATATATATTTTACCTTTTGCATTGAATTGGAAAATAGTTTTGTTTTTATCTTCCTCACAAGTGATATTTTAACATGAAACTAAATGGTTTTATTGTAGCCCCAATGCTGGTACCAGGAATGTTGGCCCTAAGGACACCGTTGTCTACACAAGGACGTATGTGGAGAATAGGTAACGGAAAAGTGCTTCAGACATTTCACTTCTTTTTATAGCTGTGTAATGATCTGTGCTGTGTAAGAGGTGCTACTATTTCAGGGTGTGAGCTTTCATAGAGAAGAGAGTTTAAGAATATTGTTAAGTTCTGCGCATGCAATATTTATGTTGTTGCCAATGTTAAACAGTTGATAAGTAACTTATTGTCATTGTATATACTCAAAAGTATTTCAAATATGTTGATGAAAGCTTCTGTCCTGCCTAGTCCTGCAGTCATTCAGTTCCAAAGAAACTCACAGAGGCTTATATTAATTATAAACTGTCTGGCCTACTACCTTAGGCTTATTACTAACTACCTCTTGCAATTTAAATTAACCCATAATTCTTGTCTATGTTTAGCCACGTGACCTGGTACCCCTTCTCAGTGCAGCTTTCTCATCTTGCTTTCTCTGAGTCTGGTTGGTGACTGACTCTTTACTTTTCTTCTTCCTAGAATTCTCATAGTCTGTTCATCCCACCTATACTTCCTGCCTGGCTACTGACCAATCAGCATTTTATTAAGCCAATACAAGTGACAAATCTTTACAGTGTACAAGAGTATTATCCCACAGCACAAATAACTAATAAGGAAATAATAGGACAGGTACTCAAATGTTATTGCATAAATGTATATTACCATTTGGTTATAACAACCTTTTAATTTGAATCACCTTAATTCAAAGACTCTAGCTACTATTTGCACCCAATCTAATATAGAAAAGAAGCTGCATCTTTAGGTCAGCTTATCATGGACTAAATGGCAGGAATCCGTTTCCTATAAAACTGTCTGCTTGGAATGATGAATGTTGACAAAGGTGACAATGGGGGTCATGGATTCACACACATTTTATTTTCAAGGAGTATTAAAAAATGAGAATTAGCCTAATTATAGGGTAATATAATGGCAAAGCGCACAAATGGAGACACATGTGACATGTGTAAATTTACTTCAGAGAAGCCCAAGACAACAGTTCAGGGGAATCTCCATGTGTGTGGGAGCTCCCAGGGTCAACACAGTGCCTTTCTGGGTCAAACCCATGTGTAACTTACACATACAGTTTCCAAAGTAATTAAATTCTGAATTCAAATCTTGCTCTATTGTGACTTCAGTAATTCCTACTAACTTTTAATTAAATTAAGTGATAAAAAATGTAACGGAAAAATTAAATAGGTTAGAACATGAAAGAAATAGGCATAGATAGATAGATAGATAGATGATAGATAGATAGATAGATAGATGACAGATAGATAGACAGACAGACAGACAGACAGACAGCATGAGGATGATATATAGTAAAGACAAGACACAAAATATTGGCAAGTAGGATAAAAGTAATAGGCATTTATTCTACACTTACATGGCACTGTTTTCACACATTAGTAACCCTAGGGATAGCACATTAATACATTTTAATTTCTAAAGAAGTGTCTCACTGAAACTAAGGCCAACAACTGTGGTATCTATTTTTAAGAAACAGTAAATCTCTAGAATTAGGAATAGTCTACTAACTACTATTTTCCAGCTTATTTTTACTTATTAAATAGTTGATTGAAAATATTGACTTGATTTGTACAAGTACAGAAACTAAACCATGTTTGAACAATTCAGCCCTGTTGGCTATGGTTCGCTTTTGTAAACTACTGTGCATATGTTATTGGAATATCTCTGTGTGTGTGTGTACAGACAGCAATTTTCAAATGCAGTTTCTGAGCTGGATTCAACAGTATCACTTCAGACTTGTTGCAAGCAAACAAAAATTACTTGGCCCCATCTCAGACCTGAAGAATCAGAAACTCTGCCACTATGGTCCCAGCTGTGTTTTTAACAAATTCAACATGCTTTGACGCAAATGCAGATTCGAGAAGTGTAGCTATAAAAGATAATATTGTGTTGTGTCAGACCAGGAAAGTGTAGGGTAGAATAATCTGAAACGATGGATTTGCTACTGTTTGTTACCCTAACATGACCATGATGTACCACAAATACCTCTAACTTTCTTAAACTCTGCTCTACCAGATGGCACAGTATACTGTGATGTCTCTAGAGTTAGGTTCAGGATTGAGCTATTATTTGTCATTTACATACCCAATAGCCTTGGTAAAAGTGCTGTGTGCATATGTGTGTGTGTGTGTGTGTGTGTGTGTGTGTGTGTGTGCTGGTATTTTAATTTATATTATACTATTTTACTTACATAAATTACTTAATTGGTTAATTTCCACAGTGCTAAGAATTGAATTTAAGGCTTTACACATACCAAGAAATTTTTCTTAACCCCTAAACTGTTCTCCAGCTCCCTATTTAGTTTTAAACTGTCTCTCCAGGCCCTAGTTAATTTGTTTTGAGACAGGATCTTGCTAGTTTGCCTAAGCTGACCTTGAGTACACTCCACAGTCTAGGCGAGTCTTGAACTTGTGGTCTTCCTTCCTCACCTTCCACAACAGATGGGGTTACAAGCCTGTGCCTTTAGGCTAGTGAGCTTTATTTTAATAAATAAATGGGATACAAGTATATGTTCTATGAAACACAGTGATGTCATTATTGCTTATACTTAAATTTAGACTGTCTCAGCCTGTTCTGGTTTTTGTTTTTTGTTTCATTTGTTGTTTCTTTGTTTGGTAATGTGTTGACTAGCTGGGGCTTTTGCATCATTACGTCTACAAATTAAAAAATGAAATTGGAAAGACATTATCTGGGTTCGCAATACTACAAATATAATAATAATAGTAATAATAATGTTTGAAGGGAGACATGTTTTCTTACCTATGTGGGGGCAATGCTCGGGAAAACGTCCTGATTTTCACATGTCCCTATATGTTTGTTTTTAGTAGATCACCAAAGGACGGATATCAGGAAAATATCTCAGGAAAATATATACAAACTGTTTATTCAACTTCAGATAGGTAAGTATGCTTTTATTTCCATTTCAACATAAAGTGTATATATGTACATACATGCATACAAACATATGCACACTTTCATGTGCATATACACATGTGTATTTCTCTTTGTCTGCTTTTCTCGGATGGTTTTGATTGGAGACAGGTAGGAAACGGTTAGGAATATGCATGAAGAGACTACAGTACCTTTCTGCATGCAGGAACCTGCTTCCTGGCTGTTGGCTTTCACGTACCTTATTCTAGAAGACCTTTTCATGCCTTCCAAACTTCTTCTCTGCTGGTGATTTCCGAGTTCCCTGCCTGCAACTGTGGCAGCCCCTAGGTTTTATTGCTTCTCTAGACTGCCCCCAGTCCTTATTTCTGTTCCACACATGGATTCAACTCAGTTCCTAGAAGGATTAGGATGAGTATAATGCTGGATAGAGAACTGGCCCCCACTCCAGGCTTTTTCTTCTGGTGACTCCCCTTACTATTTCACATTCCATGGGGGCCTCTAGGTGATACTCAGGGGAGAGTGACTTGCAGGTCTCCTGGGATGTAAGTGAAAATCACTAGTATTTCAGCTCAACTTCTAGGAGCAGCTGTTACACAAGAACCCATTCTTTCATTGTTAGGGTTTCTCTAGCAGGGGCTGGAAACGTGACAGTCTGGAGTGAGGACATAGCTTATTTTTAGGTGTAGATTTAGCTTTTAATGCAGTGTTAGTACCTAGCTTGCACACAGTAGGTGATTCTTAAAAACATGAACTTCCACTTACCACGGGAAATAATAGCCATCCTTTCTCTGATGGCATTCCACGTCCACGGCCTCCCCAGTGCAAAGAGCATCTCATCTGAAGAGGCCATTTCTTCTTTCTTTGTATTTCTGGATCTTGATCAGTACTGGCAGAACGAGATGATAATGTGGAGACACAATTTTCTCCTTTTGATGTGCTTGTAGTCTTGAATGGGAAGCTTTGTTATGTACATATATGTGTGAACATATGAACAATTCATAGGAAAATATTTGCCAGGCATGTGTATGCAAGTAATGGTAGAATAAATTAAGAGTTGTAAATATTTATAAATAAACTATCATGTAATTTGCACGTACATATGGATCATTGTATACTTTACATACATGTAAATCTTTTTACATCTCTCTATATGTATCTAGTGATTAGGATGATGCAATTAGAATGACTGGACGTATAAGACCAGACAAGGTTTAACTACTTTTCACACCTTTCCACTCACGCTCTCTTCCCCTCAATTCCCCTTTTCTCTGCTCGCTCTCTTGGGCTCCTGGGCATGACATCACTTCAACTCAGGAGGTTAGAAGGCCTCACAGTCAGGCTAATAACTCTCTGGGTCGCGGTCCTTCCGTGCAGATCGCCTCACTGGCTGCACGAGAGCAGCCATTCCCTTGCTGTTCTTTGTCCCTGCTTTCGTTTCTTTAGAGTGTCACAGATGATAACAACCTGGCTTCTCTCAGGATGAACTGAGTTTGCAAAGTAAAGCACATGGGAAGATGTGCTGGACACAACATAGACTATATCATATACAGTATAAAACACACCATATACTATATATAGTATATAGTACATCATATGCTATATGAGTAGTGTGCTTTACATAGATTATTACATCCATGTATAGTCAGTGTCATCAGAACAGGTCTCTTGGTAGCATAGTAAGAGTTAGGGTACAGGGATGCAGATCATGACAAAATTATTTTATGTGTGCAATATACAAGTATTGGCTATTTTTATTTCATTATCTCTTCCTGTATGGTACTCTTGAAGCTTTGGACCTACTTGCTAACAATGCCTCAAGCTGGACAAGACTACTGGAAGCTGTTTAAGACAATTTTATGATCTTTCAAAAGAAAAAGGGCCTCTAGTTAAGGTTCTGGCATAACTTAAGATTTTTTTTTTTACTGTGTGGATCATATCTATAGTTCATTTGTTGTTGAATATTAAGTTTCTAAAATAAGTAAGAAAAACTACTTTTCTCTCATATAATTGGTGGCGGGTCCTACCTACCTTCCTTCAGAGAACAAATTAATCCTGTCATCATCTATAGCCCTGCATCCTACTTCTCGCCGTGGTACCAAGAGCAGTGTTAGGATGACAAATAGCGTCATCATTTGTGAGTTCATAAACACATTCCTGAACGGGTTTCTAATTTGGGCCGATTGAATGCTTTCAGAATTAAAATCTTACATTAATCTGCTGCAAAATTTCCCTATGCAGTGTGTAAAGTAATATATGTAAATTAGTTAAACAGTTCTTCTAGCTTCAAGGACTGCTTTTGTTCCAGTTCAACTGGGAAACTGAGCATCCTTTCCTGCCCAGACGTACTCTTGATCGCTACTAAATTAATAACCTGAGACTTTTCCCTTGTGCTGCTTCCTTGACACTGTTATAGAATTAATCCTATCATGAAAATAAGTACACAGCCTGCTTTTGGATGTTAGTGGGATTCCTAAAGCTCCACCAGGATCAACACGTTCCCACGTGATTTTACAGGAAATATGCCTGTCCTTACATGAGGGCAATTTTGAATGGTTTTTAATTCTTATGTCACTACAGGTCTGTCATTGAAAGAGATATGTGCACTTACTGCCGCAAGCCCTTGGGGGTAGAAACCAAAATGATTTTAGATGAGTTGCAGATCTGCTGCCATTCCACCTGCTTTAAGGTAAACATGTGCTTTCTTCATGTTACTAAGAGTAAGGTTGCACCATGACGAGAAAGTACATTTCTTTATTGAGATGCTTAGAACGAAGTTAAAACTTTAAACGCTGTCTAATCTACATTAATAGTATGCGACTTAAGTATTTCTTCATGTTCTACAGTTTCAGCCTCAAAGGTCTATAATTACTACCTTAGCTTTAGGCTTAGAATTCGTTCCTTTCACATCCCTTGGCCAGGAAACTTAAGTCTCTGGAAAAGATGAATACTCGTGCATTAACATTTTAATAAACAATGTATTGCAGCAGATATATAACAGAATCAGTCCTGGAAAACAGATCATTGAGAATAAGCCTAGCAGCTCTCTAGTCATGAGCTCAGGACTCAGGCCTCACAGTGGTTTAAGCTTAGTTTGCTGTTGAGACCGTGGTTAATTGCGGCTTAACGAGGAACAGAAATATTCGATAGCAAATGCATCCAAGTTTGGTTCAAATTAGCTCATTGTTCTCCCCTCCAACAGTGGTGTTGTGCCGGTCACATATCTCTCAGGGTATTTGCATGGGCACTGCACTTGGAATCTGAAAACCTCAGTCTGCCTCTGCCCTTCAGTATGGTCCATGTGACTTTGGGCAATCATGGAAATGACAACAGCTTTGGTTTCCTTACCTGTAAAATAGACCATTGAGTAGGCTGTGGTTCTCAATGCCAATTGAGAGTTATAGTCATAGGTATTGATTAAGGAAAAAAATATCTTAGAACACCCAGACTTAAAATTTAAGATTTCAGAGGTTAGTTTTGGATACTGGGGGTCTTCAAAGCTTTTTAGGTTTGTCTAATATGAATTCAAATTGAAAAAATCACTTGTCTGAGTCTGGGTCCTTTCTAGTTATGGACCTGTGATGACCCATCTACTGATGAAAAATATTTACTTTAGCCAATGAGAGGTACTCCTTTGCCCATTGATTGTTTGTCCACCAATTACCTAGCCATCAGAAACATGGGGCACTATTTGAATCAACAGTTGGCAGGAGAGCTTAGCATGTGTGCTACATTGCAGCCAATCTGAAGACCTGAGTTTGATTCTTAGAACCCACATTCTGTAAAGAAAAAATTATGTCCCACAAGTTGTCCTCTGGTCTCTCCTCCTGAGCCTCATAGCACATTATGCGTCCAGTAAATAAATATTAAAAAAACAAACTAAATCACAGCCTAACGTAGCATTATAAAATATAATCTGAAAATGAAAACTAATATTTGATTATAACATGAAGGTTTTCTAATTTCAAGATATATTCCCTTAAATAAAAGCATATACCTTAAAAATTTTAAATCAGTATGCCCAGAATCTTTTAAATAGGAAAATTTCCTGGTTATTTAAATAGGAATAAATTTCATTTATTATATTTTAAGTGATTCATTTCCATTTTAGGCATTAGGGCCTAGGAGAGAACAAAAATGTTCCTCATGCTCATAGAAAAAGACAAATTGTTCTCCAGCCATGGTAACAGAGAACCGCTTAAGCTAGTTTAAATGTTTAATAAACCAATCAAAGGCAATTTGCTCTGGTGAATTCATCTTGAAAGCCAACCAGCAACTCACATTTGGAAGTTGGCCAATCAGCAGCAGACGGGTCTGAAAAAGAATAGAGTCCAACCCTTTCCATAACACCCCACCCCGTCCCTGTGTCATCAGCAATTTGTTTGGTTGGGCACCTTGTGGCCGAATCGCACAGCTCTCCCTAGTGGAAGGAAATGATAAATGCACCGCTGCCTTTTTGTTTGAGACATCGATGGTTACCCTGTCCTTGTCATAGTCAATTTGTGAAAAATTCTGTCTGCTCCTCGGCGAGCTCTGCAGAAAGCCTCGGGGGTAAAGATTCCCTGAACTGTACCTGCGTGTGGAAGGATGCTATCTGAGAAATTTGGTGTGTGGTGATCGGAAAACACACCGAGTTTCCCTGTGGCCTCTCTTCGGGGCTGTCTGTGAGGTCTTTCTCGGGAGGGTGGTCTCAGAAGAACCGAAGGGTTTTTCTATCCCCGCTCCCTTGAGGATACATTCTCTGTCTGCAGTATAACCCTGATATATTGTTTTCTTTAGTGTGAAATATGCAAACGGCCTTTGGAAAACCTGCAAGCCGGCGACAGTATCTGGATTTATAGGCAGACTATACATTGTGAGCCCTGCTACTCTAACGTGATGGGTAAGTGTCCACTCTGCCAGCAGCAATCATTCCTAACTAACGCGGGCAACTATTTCGTATTGATGAGTAGGAAATATTCCAGTAAATTTCAACATCTTACTAAATATAGCTATTGAAAAAGTAAGTGGCAGATAGTTAAACCATGACAGCATTTGGTTTAATGACATCAATCAGTCAATACTGATACTAATTTTTTGTTTTTTGGTATTGGTCGGGATACGGTGTAAACAAGGAAGCCATTTATTTTAGGAAACTTTCCAGGTTGTGAAGCAGAAATGATTTTTGCTGACTAAATGACTGTTGAAGTTGAATCATTTCTGTGGATGCCCGTTTGTGCTTGGACTTGGAAGTACATTTAAAGGTAGTCTGGTAATTACAACCAATGCCTTTTAATGTGACTTTTGCCTGAAACAGTTAATTTTATATAATTCTATGTTAAATATAACATGTAAAGCTTTGTGGGTTTTTTTTGACAATGCAGGACCAAATGTTATTATAATTTGGACTTTTAATTAGCATCAGTAAGGAGAAAACAAGATGTTATGGGCATGCATTTTTAACTAAGCATGAGAAATTTAAGGGCTGATCTAAAACACATGCAGAATGTGTCTGAAAAAAAAATAATGTCCTATAGGATTTAATTGATTGTTACAAGAAAGTACATTCAATTTATTTTTAGATTCAATAGTAAGTGGAACAAAATAAAAACCCAAAATGCTATTGAGGAGGAGGCTCATAATGTTCCTAGTAACAATGTTTAAAGGGCCCTTGTTCCTTCCAACTTTGCTCTGGTGGAGGAGACTCCTTGGGATTCCTCGATGGGATCAGAAGCACAGAAGTTAATGACGAATGAGTGATCTTAGTGAGCTACCCAGTGGCAGCACCTGGAACAATGTCCCGTGCCCCCATCCCATCAGGCTTCCGAACCAATGAACGGAACAAGCCTGGTTCTATTTGTACTCTGCCTTCCATGTCCTGTTTCTCAGACTCACTTTCCCTCCTAATTGTGCAGTCCTAATCAGTCCAATATTCTATGCTAATTCTTGGTGTGCAGGGGGCAACTCCAAAGCATTTTAGTCTCTTGAGAGTCCCTGACATGATGTAGGCGGTTTGTTGAGCAAGGACTCAGAAGCTACCCTGTCTTCCTCTCTTTCTATGCAAGCTCCATAGCAATGTTTTCTCTAAGAGAAATTGTACTCATAGCTCTGGCTCTCTCTTGCTTCTTAAATCTACACACCTGTTGTGTGGTACTTCATGTTTGACCAAACCCAGAGTGAAGAGCTCAGGGCTAGAAGGAGTGATAGAACGCTTGATCCAATGTAATCCCCTGGGAGAATGACTGGTTTTTTTTTTTCAAGTTTTAATAGTGGTTTTATTCTCGTATTGATTTGTGTATCTAATTTTGTTTTTGAATTTTCAGCCAAGTGGATTCAGTAACACTGAGAAGTGGAAATGAAGATGAAAAGCCTTCGCTGAGGAATTTAAAGCTACATTTTTAAGAATATATAATCTAGAAAGGGATTCACATTGAGGATTATCTCTTGTATCAACAATTTTGTTATTGCACAAATAATGTAATTACTTTGAATAAGATTGCATACATGAGAAGAGCCATGTGGTATTTGACAAGATCTAGTGATAAAACCTCACATAGTTCTTGCTACCGAAGTCAATGGCAGAGAGTATTGTCACCCCTGCACAGGCCAGCACTGCTCCATATTTAGCTGCCCATCATGATTTTCAATAACCAAGTTTCCCATCTTCTCACCTATATTCCCTTAATAGTTTGTTTTAGCGCTTTATTGATACCCTGACAAATAGGCTGATATAAGCAAGATATACTTCTTCTTTTTCCCACAAATGAAAATGCACGTAGAAATTTTCTTACAAAATTTTTCAAGAAGAGCAATGTAACAAGTTGTTTGAAACTTTGAAAGTCACCTAAAGTTCCCAGACTTCTGTGATGTTCTCTATGACACCACAGACATTAGACAAAGTAATTTCTAAAGTCCTTTTTTACCTTTCCAGTTGTCTGATTATAAAAGAAATTGGAATTTCTGCTTAGAAACATATTTGTAAACAGTATTGAGATATACAAATAATTTCACCTAAGCATCATCCTTTAGTTTACGACAGGCTTATCTTTTATAGACTATTCTTAAAACTGAAATTAAGAGTTTTGTGGGTGATAGGTAAAGCCATATGATGTGTAATTTGTTAAACTTTCTTTGCATGCATTTCAAAATCTGAGAAATAATAGATATGGATTGCAAACATGTTATATGTGTTCATGTTACAGTTTATGTTTACAGAAGGCTCATGACAATAAAATGATTTTCTCTAATGTTTGAATATCATTCATTAACATTGATTCTTTTCAGTTATACTGATCACAAGTTATATTTCATACTATGAGAGTTAGCTTATTTTTAACTGCTTAAAATATAGCTTTTATTTTGAAAGAATTCTTTCGTTTTGGAGTCGAAAATTCAGTGATCATACAGGAAATCATTGTTATTGTTAACATAGAAAAATTAAGCATAGTAAGTAATTTATAGGCACATAGCAACTGTTTCTTGAAGGAAGAGTGACTGGGTTGTGGTGGGACCTGGAATTCTAAGGCACTGCTAGGCAGTTGGGAGAAAACAAGCTGGGGCAGTTAAAAGATGGCTGCACGGTTTGCAAACAGTGTTAGATTCAAATAATTATTCTCCTGTGTAATAATTTTATGCATCTGTTCCTCTTAGACACTGGTCAACAAAGTGTTAAATGCAAAATGCTTATCAAAATCAGCCATGTATAATTGTCCTATGGGGAGGGAGCCAGAAAAAACAATTAATAATAATTTGATATTCATTAATTCATGCTTGATGAGAAGCAGTGGTAATTGAGCCATATGTTTTATTGTTCCTTTATTACATGCTATCAGAGTGGATCAAAAGAAATAATTTTCTTAGAGTTGAAATTGACTGCAGAAAGCAAGGATTAAATTGCCCCCGTCTGTTTTGTAAAGTACATTAACATCTCAATGCCTCTGTAGTAATTAAAAATCATCCAAATATCATTTACAAACATAAAATCTGAAGAGAACACATTTCTCACTTTTCTATAGCGGGTTTATGGACACTTTCTTGTACAATAATGTACTAGACCAAGTCAAAGGCTGTTGAAAAAACAGAATATACACATATCAGAGAGACAAAGATTTCTGATTCATTAAGACTGCTCCATTATGTCTGAGGATTGTCTCACTATTGAAATGACAGATCCTTTAGACAATTTGGAAGATTCCTTTTTTGTCATCCATTATTCATAATACAATTGGTATATTACCCCTAGACAAGATTATCAAATCACCAACACCAGGTCCTGAATTCTGATATAAATGCTTAAAAAGTCTCCATGAGAGAAGTAATAGTTCTGTCAAGACAGCTTCCTTTGTGTGTGCATGTATGATGTATGTGCAATAACATATGTGTGTGCATATGTGTGAAGGTCAGAGGTGGTTGACTTTGGATGTGGGGTTCCAGTGACCTCCTTCCACTTTTTTGAGTCATGATCTTTCATTGGACCTGAAGCTCACTGATTCTTCTTAACTACTCAGCCACCCTCAGATGTTCCCATCTCTGCTTCCCCACCACTGGTATTACAGGCATACAACACCATGCCTAGATTTTATATGAAGTGCTGAGAATCAGACTTGCAGCCCCATTCCCGTGTAGCAAACACTACCATCACCCATTCATTCCATCACTAAACACCTCAAACTGACAGAGTCCTCTCCTCAAACCCACAACAATATATAAAAGCAAAATAAAAGAAATACCATGATTTCAGAAACAGAATTTATTAAAGTAGCATGCACTTCTGAAGGAAGGCCAAAAGGATGAACTGAATCAAGAATGAACATATCCTGCATTATTTGACTGCAGTGGTTCAGCTAATTGATACGAGGGTCAAGATGGTCCAGCTCCCACTGCTGGTGACTTGCTGATTGGCTTGCTATGATGGGAAGCTGTTTAGAACAATGTCCTGCTGGACTGGATTCAGAGCTCTGGCAAAACAAGTGATTTACCTGCATCATGACAAGCTAATAATGAGAGTGACTTGTCAGTTGCCAGTGGAATGATCTGGGTACAATATAAATAAACGGATTTGTAGAGTTCTACCTATTTCATAGTAGTCAGCGGTGTCCCCAGAGGAATCCACAAACATCCTTCTTAAATCAGATAGGCTACTTTCTCTCTGTCTTGATGCCTTCCTGTGTGACAAGTGACTTTAGAATATTGGCTCTCTAATGTACCATGAGCTCAAACATTGCAGAGATTACAAGTCAGTTTCTACTGCTCACTTTATGTGCATATGATCCATTTTGTTACATACATATTGAAGCTTTGAAGGGAAGTACAGGGGGAAGGGACGTGAAGGAGCAGTTTCAAGGGAGAGAGAAGAGAGAGAGAGAGAGAGAGAGAGAGAGAGAGAGAGAGAGAGAGAGAGCACAATAATAAATCCATGCAGGAAATGAAGCGTGATGACTATGTGAATGGTACAGTTTGGGGCATAATATGACAAGGGAGGAGGAGTTATTTCAAATAAAACCTTGATTATAGACAGGAACCTTCATGGGAAAAGCTAGGGTGAGGAGCTGTCTTGGATTTGGCAATAATCAGATCACATTCTAGGTTAGTCTAACTTCACTTCTTTTTAACATAATGAGATGGAAATTTAAATGCAAAGAGACAGGCAGGTCAAAAGATTCTGAAGCTTCCTTTAGTCCCCATATAAAACGATATTCAGACAGGACTCAGACCAGCTTTCTATTCTCTGCTAAGAACAACTAGTCCTGAGCCCCAGGATGAGATTTCTCACTAGAAAAAGGAGCCCACAAGCAAGTGTGAGGGGCTGTCAGGTGACTGGCAAGTGTGACCTGGACAGAGGAGCCCACAAGCTAGTGTGAGGGGCTGTCAGATGACTGGCAAGTGTGACCTGGACAGAGGAGCCCACAAGCTAGTGTGAGGGGCTGTCAGGTGACTGGCAAGTGGCCTGGGTCCCACCTGAAATGGAAACAAAGAATGATGTGGTGTGGGACCTTTCATCTCCTTTGAGGCGGGAGATGTTTTATCTCTTATGTTTTCCCAAGTGAAAATGTTAAACAGAAAAGCACCATTCTTTCTAATGGAGGAGAGACATTCTGCTGGAATTTTATCAACGACACATGTTCATTTTCCTTGTTGCAATATGAAATTCTATCTGCTAAGAAGAAACATTCAGAACTTGATGTACTTCTCTTGACAATCAGTTTGTTAATTTTGCCGTTTTTCCCAAGAGAAATGGAAAAATCTCTAGTGTCAGGGTCTTTCATGCCCTGTTTGATAGGATAAAGTATTGACAGTGCCCACAGTCACAAATAATGTTAATAAAGATCCCTAAATTTGTGGTAACTTTGTTTTGACACGTGTGTTCACACATTTTACAAAGACTCAGAGAATGACTCATAGACCTAGATGTGAAAATTGAAAACTATAAAATTTGTAGGAGAAAACCCAAATACTCTTAGGCTTCATAAAGTTTTAGCTAGAACACTAGGAGTCATTATTTATAGAACAAAAATTAATGAACTGGAACAAATTTTTAAAAAACCTGCTGCATAAAAAAAAAGCTGATAAGAGAATGAAAAGAAAAGCCACAGACAGTGAGAAAATATTTTCAAAACACTTGTCTGTTAAGGAACGTGTCCCCAATATGTCCAAATAATTCTCAAAACACAACAACAAAAATTAAAATAAAATCTTCATTAAAAAGAGACAAAAGTTCTATCCGGACAGTTCACGAAAGAAGATACATAAAATTCATATGGAAGGTTCTTGGCGGCATTTGTTCCTTAGAGAAGAGCAGCTCAAATAGCAGTGAGCTGCCGCCACCCCTAAGAGGAACCCTGAAGTGTGCAACTCAGACAGCGGTGAGCTGCCGCCACATTTGAGAGGAGCGCTGATGTATGTACGCTGTTACCAGCACATCAGCGTGATGCACTTGCTATAGCTAGTGATCCTGTGGTCAACTCACGTCCGTATCTTTTAAATTTCCTCCTGTCTTCTCTCTGCCATAGCACCCCAACTGTTGACTGCAACGCTCATCCTTTGGTTCCTCTTGCTTGCAATGGTTCCTTTGGCTGTGCTGGTTTTGATGACCTTGCTACGCAAAGATTTTTTTTTTCCCCTCAATGCTTTTTTCATGAGGTTGTGGGTACTGAAAAGGAAGACTGCATAATCCCATTATGAGGATATCATATTGAGAGTAACCTTAATTATCTGGCTAAGGTAGTGTCAGTTCTTTCCTCTTGTCAAGTTTTTCCTCTCTCTTTCCCCATAATGCATCTTTAATTTTAGATTTTTATTACATTTTATTTTATTTTTATTACATTTCACTTGTGTGTATGAGTGCATGTACGTGCATGTGTGCGCACACGTGTGCCATGGTGCACTTTGGGAGGTCAGAAGACAGCCTGCAGTACTTTGTTTTCCTTACACCGTGACCTCTGTGTACATCATTGTCTGTGCACACCCCCATGTGCCTGAGTAGTTTTCAATTTTTATGGCATTGTGAGATGCTTCCAGCCACTGTAACATGCAATTTATTGCATTCCAAGAGAGAAAAATAAAACTTGTCTTCAAATGTTGATTTCCTGGTGTATTAGATTTCTAGCCTTTAATTTTTATTTCCCCTTTCTCTACCATATGACCAGTTAGCCAACACTCTCTTTTATGTTTTTTTTTGAAAGTCCCTGGCTTCTAGCATCTGTTTTTATATAAATATGAACCTTTAATTTTTATGGCATGACTAAGTATCTATCACAAAGAATACCTATATGCAGTACTTCAAACAGGGAGGTTTTTCTCATTGTTTCTCACAGCAAAGCAGTTGATTTTGTACACGAAACTGTCCAGAGCATGTTGTGACTCTGTCCTGCTCCAATGCCTTATGATCAGCATTGACTTAACAACTTCCCACTGGCCAATGACTGAGAAAGAGAAAGACTATGAAGAGTTATCGCCTTCCTTTCATTTACAGCCAGCGGTCACTCACATTGACCACATTTCCCTGCTCAAGCGAAGGCTTTTGTTCCAGTCCCACTGCCGTGAGGAACCATGGCTAAGGCAACATATAAAATAAAGCATTTAATCGGAGGCTTGCTGACTGTTTCAGAGGACCAGCCTGTGAATTTCATGGTGGGGAACCAGCAGCAGATGGCTAGTCAGGGCCCTGTAAGAAGAAAGAGAGAAACAGAGAGAGACAGAGAGACAGACGGGGGTGGGGAGAGAGAGAGAGAGAGAGAGAGAGAGAGAG